AGCGGGTGCTGTTGGAGGGTGAGGGAGCTGACGCTGTCGGAGGGTCAGTGCTGAGGGAGCAGGCACTATCGGAGGGTCAGCGCTGAGGCTGAGGGACGCTGTGGGAGGGTCATTGTGGAGGGAGTGGGCGCTGAGGGAGCGGGCGCTGTCGGAGGGTGAGGGAGGGGGACGCTGTGGGAGGGTCATTGCAGTGCGGAGGGAGTGGGCGGTGTGGGAGGGGGTTGCGAGGAGGCAGTGGGAGCCGGACCGAGGGACAGAAAGTGAGTGAGTGTCTCGGCCTGTTCCCCCTCCCACAGCCGGATCCACATCACCAAGGCGACCCTGCAGTTCCTGAATGAAGACTACGAGGTGGAGCCAGGTTATGGAGGGGAGAGGAACTCCTATTTGAAGGAGAACTGCATCGAGACCTACCTTATTGTGGGTTGCAGCCAGAAACGGGTAAGGAGCGGGCATGCTAACTGGTAGGCAGAGAGAGGGGTGGGGTGGGGGGGGGGGGGCAGCGCCTGTCCTCTTACTGAATGGCCTCCTCCTGTTCCTCTGGGACAGGCTCGAGGGGAGGGGGCGGCACCGCCTCCTGCTGCTCCTGTGGGACAGGCTCGAGGAGGGGGGGCTGAAGGGCCCCCTCCTGTTCCCTGTGTGACAGGCTTGAGGAGCGGGGGCTGAATGGCCTCCTGCTGTTCCTGTGGGACAGGCTCGAGGAGGGGAGGGGGCTGAATGGCCTCCTGCTGTTCCCTGTGCGATTGCAGCAGTAAATCTGCAGGCATGTGGAGTGAGTGGTTGATGGGGAGAGGGGAATGGGAACAGGACTGGGATCCTCCTGCTGTGATGATTTCCAGCTGTTGTTCCATGATCCCCAGGAGAGAACTCGGATAGCGCCACGTTCCACTGGAAAAGGGAACTGGAGAGTTGCCAATATCCTGCTCCCTCTCTCCCCCCTCACTGTTTATGTCCCTCGGAGAGAGAGAGTGAGGGAGAGGGAGAGGGAGAGGGAGAGGGAGGGAGAGGGAGAGGGAGAGGGAGAGGGAGAGGG